TATGCTCAACAATAAGTCGGCGTCTCGGTGAGGATGCCAATTTGAAACGTAAACAATGCCAGAAAGATTAATTATATGCATTGTGCTTCCCACACATACTTTTAATCTCAAATGTTTTCATTGAATATGAATACAGTTAAAAGCATTTTGATTAAACAGATTTCTACAGAACAGATTAAACGCTCTGTTGAAGTCAATCGAGCTCTGGATACGAGACCAAGAACGTGCTCGCCACTCTCATCATGAACGGCAAGGACATGGTGGCCGTCATCATGGCGGTCAACAATATTGGCGCTCCTCATTTCACTGCTCAGGATGAAGAGGTAGCATTCATTCATATCACTCTCTGTGATAGCGAGTACAGCGCTTTGTGTTTATGCTCAACAATAAGTCGGAGTCTCGGTGAGGATGCCAATTTGAAACGTAAACAATGCCAGAAAGATTAATTATATGCATTGTGCTTCCCACACATACTTTTAATCTCAAATGTTTTCATTGAATATGAATACAGTTAAAAGCATTTTGATTAAACAGATTTCTACAGAACAGATTAAACGCTCTGTTGAAGTCAATCGAGCTCTGTGTCTTGTAGACGCTGAAGAAATATCTCAACTTTGCCAATCTTGTGCTTCGAGTTTTTCACCTGAGCTACCTGCACAACTGTGAAACCAGAAGAGGACATGTGGGATTTCTGGGAGATTGAGATTTAAGACATTGACCCGTAAACACTGCCACTCCGTGATCTTTGCAGGTGTTGCTCTGGTCTGCCAGCAAAGTGTTTGAGGAGCTGACTGACATTGAACGACAGTTCCACAAGGCCCTCTATACAGTCCGAGCCTTCCTCAACTGAGACCGCTACTCTGTGGGCCTCCTCGGCATGACTAAAACTAAAGTGATTCATTAGTTATGTATTGCATCAAATATGCAGCTGGATTTGTAACTTGTAATTTGTCTGTTGAAGAGTATTGAAATAATTTGATTTTTGTTTATTTGTCTGTAGGAGTTTTTTGATCTTTGGCCCATACTGATGGGAAAGGTGCCTCCTTATAGTGGACCAAAGACCCCTGATGGCAGAGTGAGTGATACACCGAATAAATAGGGAATATGTGTTTAGTTAGTCATGTTAGAGAAATGAATTCTTACATGCTGTCACATGTTTGACTTACGGTATTAATTCTGCTCCAGGAAATGATTTTCTACAAAGTGATTGATTACATATTGCATGGAAAGGAGGACATCAAAGTCATTCCGTAAGTTAATGCATTTTATATTGCCTGTTAAATTTGAGCTTCCACTTGGCATTTAATTAAGCCCAGTATTGCCACATGCATTATCATGCATCATTCTACATTACATGCATTGTAATTATAAACACACTGTATCAAGAAATAGCATGTCTGGCTCTCCAGTTCCAAGATGTAAGGTGGGTCAGACAGTTTCTGGGTGTTTGCAAGGGTGGGCCAAACTCATGACTGGGCCCATCTTCAGGAGGCCCTCCTATTGAGCCAGGTCTAAGACATAATTATTTATTTGAAAGTACAAATCTTCATATTCCTGGCATATATACACTACCATTCAAAATGTTTTTTATTTAGCAAGGATGCATTAAATTAATCAATAGTGACAGTAAATACATTTATAATGTCACAAAATATTAGAACTTTCTGTTCATCAAAGAATCATGGGTAAAAAAAAAGCATATCTGTTCAACTATAATAATAATAATAAATGTTTCTTAAGCATCAAATCAGCATATTCAAATGAGATCATGTGACACTGAAGACTGGAGTAATGATGCTGAAAATTCAGCTTTGCATCACAGGAATAAATTAGATTTAAAAAATTTTACAAAAGAAAAGTTATTACAAATTGTAATATTATTTGACAGTATTACTGTTTTTTACTGTATTTCAAATAAGAGACAGTGTTATTAAAATGTTACTAAAAATAATTTTTACAACTTTTAATGCATATATTAGATTTTTCTAGACTACCTAGAAAATAAAAATGGGATCCATTTAAAGTAAAGTGCTGGATTGTTCTGTTCAGACACACATGCATTGTCGTTACAGTAACCCTCCAGCTGACCACTGGGCATTAGTAAGTGGACTTCCCATCTGCGTTGCAGAGAACGGCCTGGTGAGAGTCTAGACCTCCATTCTCCTCTCCTGATGCCACAGTAGTCAGACAAGTTGGAAGCTATTATGGTTTATAATGTTCCTGTCATGTGCACAGCGAGGGGGAATAGAATGTGCTCCCACACTGAAATGATGGATAATTGTAATTTTGTGAACAGTAATTAATCAGAAAGCAATGCCCCTTCTCAGTGAGCATGACTGCTGCTTTCTCTTCACTCTGTCTTACAGATCTGTAATATCATGAACGCAGCTGAAGACGAGTTCTTTGACTTTCAAGTGAGCTCACCTTAACTTACGCACCTATGAAAGCCCTGTATAATAATAATAATAATAATGAATGCAATTTAATTAGCAGTGTTTCAAAAATAAAAGCTGTACACCTCAGCATTTTGTATATCTACAAAATTTTAGAAATTTTCCCGAAATGTATTTTGGTTAAAGTTTGTTTTTGTCCTGCCAGAAAGAGCCTCTGGATGAATCTGGATGGACAATAAAGAATGTACTCTCTTTGCCCATCGTAAACAAGAAAGAGGAAATTGTTGGCGTGGCCACATTCTATAACAGGAAAGATGGAAAGCCTTTTGATGACATGGACGAAACACTAATGGAGGTATTTGAGGCCACAGTATAGAACAGTAGTGTGTCATAGCTAAATATATAGTAATGGATAGATCAGCAGACTCTGCATTATTTATTTTTGAACATTTCATCGAGAACATTTCATAGTGTAGAGAAAGTTTACCCTGTTTTCAATTTATTATGCTGGGTTTGTTGGATTCAACTAAACTGCTAAGCCAAATCTCTAAAGTCTCTAAAAAGTACTTTGTACAAATGTGTCTGTTTTATCTTAGTGCTACAGTCCACAGAGACTTTCAGTTGAGTTCAATCAGGTTCCCTGTGGAGATGTGAGGCTTTTTTAGTTTTCCCATTAATTTCCACCCGATTTCAGTTCAATTCAAGTTTATTTGTATAGCGCTTTTCATGATTCAAATCATTGCAAAGCAACTTTACAGCAAATTAAGTTTCTACAATATTTAGAGGTAGCTTATCAGTAATGACTCAGTTAATGTACATATGGCAGAAATGTTCGGAAAAATCAATTAAAGACGTAATCAAACAGACAATTAACACTATTAACAGCAATTATTATATGATGCAATCAAACTTATTGCAAAATGTGGTAGTTCTGTATGTTGTTTCAGGGTTGGCATCATCTGAGGTCCTGAGGTCATCTCTTCTCAGGTGTTCTGGATCCAGACTGAAGCTTGTGTAAATCCCAACAGAGAAACAAATAGATATAATTAGCATAGCTGCTGTTCCCGTTAATGTACATATGGCAGAAATGTTCGGAAAAATCAATTAAAGACGTAATCAAACAGACAATGAACACTATTAACAGCAATTATTATATGATGCAATCAAACTTATTGCAAAATGTGGTAGTTCTGTATGTTGTTTCAGGGTTGGCATCATCTGAGGTCCTGAGGTCATCTCTTCTCAGGTGTTCTGGATCCAGACTGAAGCTTGTGTAAATCCCAACAGAGAAACAAATAGATATAATTAGCATAGCTGCTGTTCCAACCAAGCAAAATCGACCTTAGGGAGCGTGATGGATTGTAGCGTGGTAGAAGACTAGTTAGGTTTGCAGGAGCTCACCCATTAAGGGCCTTATAGGCAAGTAATAATATTTTGTAACTGATACGGAACTTAATAGGTAGCCAGTGCAGAGACTGTAAAATTGGGGTAATATGATCATATTTTCTTGACCTGGTAAGGACTCTAGCCGCTGCATTTTGGACTACCTGTAGCTTGTTTATTGAAGATGCAGGACAACCACCTAGGAGTGCATTACAATAGTGCATTACAATGTGAACCTGAATGAAAATGTGAACCTAAGAATGTATCTCAACCTACAGTAAATGTGAACCTGAATGAAAGTGTGAGTCTCAACCTACAGTAAATGTGAACCTGTATGAGAAGTGTGAACCTAAACCTGAATCTCAACTTACAGTAATGAACCTGAATGTAAATGTAAATCTAAATCTGAACCGGAATCTAAATCTACATACATTAAATGTGAACCTGAACATGAATCTCAACCTAATTGTGAATCTGAACGTAAAGTTGAATCTAATTGTAAACTTGAATGTAGATGTGAATCTAAACCTGAATCTCAGTACATGTAAAACTGAATGTAAATGCGAATCTGAATCTGAACCTGAATCCCAATCTACAGTAAATGTGAACCTGAATGAAAATGTGAACCTAAGAATGTATCTCAACCTACAGTAAATGTGAACCTGAATGAAAATG